GGGGGGGGGGGGGGGGGTATGGATCTTTTCTGGAACGACCCATTGGACTAGTATTGGTTATGCCTGTGCGTTTTTAATGTGTACATTTATTTTTTAATGTCTATAAAGATATCATCGATTCACATACCTGCACGAGGTTGTATGGTTAAAACTGGAGAAGATACAGCGTCCAACAAGCAGCAATAAATGATCTGGTGGATACTGTTTGTTGTGAGATGAAGAACTAAAATATAAAATTACAAAACTTTGATAGATAAATAAATAGATAAATTAACAGGTTAGCCCAATCAGCTGGTACAGAAACTCTGTAAATAAAATATTTTTTAATTTCCTCCCAACCTTTTTAACTCTCAAATAGTTCATTACACATTTATTAGTTAGGTTTAGAGAAGGGGTTGGGGTCTGTTTGACTGTTTATCCATAGACGTTTATCTTAAATATTCAGACTACAGAGTACAGTACAAATTTTAATATAGCAAATCAAACTTCGTATCAATATACAACTAAATGAACTGATTATTAAGAAGTAAACTGACCTTTAAACTGAAGAACTTGATTGGCTTGTACACATTGGTTTCTTTGCCGCATAGTTCATTCGCTGTTGCTTGTGAATGTTTTATAAACCAGTACAGCGAAGTAGCGAAATTTCGGGCCGCCTTTCACAACAAATAACATCACAATAACTGCACATCCTTTTCTCTTTAATACAGAATCGTTTTCCCTGTCCATTGAGTTATAATTTCCAAGACTAACGAGTCGCTAAAACGTAAAATAAGCAGGTATTTGTGAACAAAAATGCCCTTTGATATAACACGAGGTAACCAGCGCCATCTTGTCTTCTCCAAACATTACAGATTTTCCCGCCAAAACCCGCCGCCAAAGTCCCGTATATAATGACGTCACAAGTGTCATGGACGGGGGGGGGACTACCCATAAAAACTTGAAGGCTAACTCAGGGGGGGAAATTGAAGCCAGTGCATTTTAGTTTTTCTGAGTTATGAGCAGAAATACTCAACACTGAACGTTGGGCTATATATCAAATTGAAGCTATTGAAAAACGCTATTTGGTGTAGAAATTTCAAGACTTTAGCTAAAAGGGAAATATTGAAAAAACTACAAACATAATTACCGATAATTTGCCATTTTGCAGTTGTTTTTGTATTTTTTAAATATTTTTCTTTTTGCTGAAGTCTTGAAATTTCCACACCGAATAGCAATTTTCAATAGCTTCATTTTGATATAAGTATTTCTGCTCATAACTCAGAAAAACTATTTTGGCTTCATCAAATCATAGGCCTTCATCATAGCAGTTAGCCTTCCAGTTTATTTATAGTTCAATGGTGAACTCTAATAAGACCTGTTGTTGCTGAAGGGTCAAAGGGACGTGGTGTTGGCTGACTATGGGAAGCTGAAGGTTCAGGGTGGGACACCTGTTGATGAGCTGGTGGTACTTGGGGATTGACTAGGGGTACCTGACGAGGAACTGGTGGAACATAGGGGTGGTCTAGGGGCATTTGTGGAGCTGGTGAAACATAGGGGTTGTCTAGGAGCACTAGTTGAGGAGCTGGTGGTATTGGTGGTCTTATTAGAGTTCACTGGGACTACCATATTTAGTGGTAAAATATTTCAAAAATACACACTAAATCTAATTTTTATCTCTTTAGCTTCGCTATTTTTGCTTTCCACGTATTGTTTGACTCAACCACGATTGTAACACAACAATTTTTGCTTGCTAAACATTTTAAAATCAACAAAAATACAGACCATGTTCTTCAGGCAAACATTGGAAATTATTTTTTTACGTTCAAACCGGAACTTCATGTAACCTAGCTTGTTTTGGCTCAAACAACATAGCCGCTGAAAGTTTAAAAAAAATCACACCAACAAAACTATAGCTTCTTCTCAGCATGTACATAGAATATGCTTACTGGGGGCCTGTTTATATGGAAGCCGGGCTGGCCTGCTAAGCGAGCCAGCCCGGTAAACGAGATCTCGCTGTGTAGTTATTTTTATAGTAAAAACTATCATGCATTTATATGGACAAGCGGGCTGGGCCATCTCGCTTGAAAGAGGCGAGATCTCGCTTACCGGGATGGAAATCTCTCCATATAAACATTCACAAGCAGGCTAGCCTACCCTGGTTCCAGAGGTCAGAGGTTTATTTTTATTATTTACAAGGGGAGAGGAAAAATAAACCTCTGGTTGAAATCAATCAATGTGAAAGCTTAATGCAACTCAAGAGGTGTTATTAAAGTAAATCTGAAAATCACAGCAAACATTGCCATTAGCTAGACCATATACTGTCCGTTTGACAGACTTTTCCCAATTGAGGGCTTTCCCAACTGGGTCTACTGGAAGATTAGCATGTGTCCCCCAAAATTTTAACGTTCGGGCAAAAATCAATGCAAAATTGGTCATAACACAACGTTACAAATTGATATAAATTTTTGTGTTAATTTAGCGGGCAGCGGCCCAAAACTTGACAGGTGTTGCGGGTATATTGACATTCATTTAAAAATAGGTACGCTTAGGCGTACCCCATATCAAGTTAACTAAGTTACCACTCTTTCCACTAAACTAAACACCATGCATATTTATTTGCTCATAGTAAAGCTTTCTTTGCTAAATAATAAACGTGGACTTTCCCACTACTTTCCATGGCAACGGCCATAATATCGAATTTCAAAGAAAATATTTCAGGCACATGACCCCCGAGACCTTTGCTAGAATACAACATTAAAATATTCACACATTGCCATTGTTCTTTTGACAGACAATACTTAGCAAACAGCAGGCAGATAAGCACAGATTGAATGCAAATAACATTACTGAATATCACAATTTTTGGTTCCGGAATCACTTGCAGGAACACACTGGAAGAACTACAACAGTACTAGCTTAAAATATGGAACAAAGCCGAAAGAATTTTAAAGATACGATGAAACACAAGTTTAGTACACAAAGGATTTTGCCTGCGTCATGCGATAGTCAAAGAACAATAGCAACACAGCCCGAAGCAGAAACAAGATTACTCGAGCAGTTCACATAGCAGTCTCTTAATAATTCCAGCAACAGTTTAATAACTATTATTTTTAACACTTGAATAATTCAAAACACTTGAATAATTCAAACTTATATATACGAACGAAAACTGCAAAACTTTACTTTTATATAAATAAAGCGTGTCAATTTTCGACTCATTCTTAACATGCAGGATACGCTGTTACAGCGAGTTAGTTTTTGGTGGCCATGCATGCAAAAGTGGGCCGCTTATTTTGCTTATAAGTTACGTGGACGTATAATTATTGCGGTTACATAAATGTTCCGGTGTTCAAAAGCTACATATAGACGATAAAAATTGCGTGCTCAATATAATCGCCGATCACATAGCTTTATCACAGTCTCAAACCTTCAGACAAACATATCCCACATTCCTCTCCCCCTCCCCGCCCCCCTTCGGACATCCTAAGACATTTTTCCTCTCCCCCCCCTTCAGACATCCTAAGACATTTTTACTCCCTCCCCCTTCGGACAGCAAAAGTTTCCTCCGTGGGGGGGGGGTATGGATCTTTTCTGGAACGATCCAAGGCCAAAAAAAAAATATGTGGGTTTCCGGTTTCCCGACCCTACCTAGCTTTTGGACGTTGAAATCCCAACCCTAAACTTTTTTATTGGATCATGCTTGTAAGTGTTTCCACTTAGAGGAAAAAGTTTGTGAAAATTGAAATTTGAGGCAATATTAGGGAAATTTATCTTTGGATGTGGAAGCACTGATTAAACAAAATGGCGTCCGCTTATTCGGAAAAATAAAAAAAAAGTTTAAAAAAAAAGTTAAAACCGACCTACCCTACCTAAGTTTTTATAAGAAGAAACCGGAAACCCACATATTTTTTTTTTTGGCCCAATTTGAGAGACTTTTGATTCGTGATTTTGATCAATTTCTATAAAGGTGAAAAATGAAAATTGATTCGTGATTCACGAACCGTTATTTCGAACCCTGCCTGAGTGGTGTATTGGTGTCAGATCAAACTGTAGCTTTGTCCAACATAAATCAACTGGGTGTGCACCCCCCCCCCCCAGAAAATCTGTGCCTGCTGTGTACTACTCACCCAAGATAATCATCAAAACTTTCTGAAAATTATGATGTTACTCTAGAGTGTGCATTCAGACCAGCTGAAAAGTTAGCTTGGCCATGATGGGAATCGAACCCCCAACCTTTAGGGGTGCACCGGAACCAGTTTTTTAAGTTCAGGCCAGAACCGGATCTGACTGGAACTGGAAAAAGTTCCGGCCGGAACCGGAACTAATTTATTAAGCCATATATGGTCATATGTTACTTTGTCCACTGCCAGACAGGCAGACACTTCAAGTCATCAAGGAGAAAGCTCGCAAATGTTAGAATAAAAAGCGTTAAACGTCATAATGAAGTGTTAATAGTGTACATTTCCTTTGCGTTCCCAAATTTCTTCCTACTGTGACCTTTTGTTAGACACAAATCTCTCTGAAAACGACAGAGTTCCGGTTCCGGCCATGCTTTTTTTTAGTATGCAAGTCGGTTCAAGTTGATGATATTTCAGAACTGAGTCTAGTTCCTTCAATATCAGTGTATTGATATGATTGAAGGAACTAGACTCAGATTCAAAATATCATCAACTCAAACCAACTTGTAGCTCAGTTGGCAGAACATTGGACTAGTATTGGTTACGCCTGTGCGTTTTTAATGTGTACATTTATTTTTTAATGTCTATAAAGATATCATCGATTCACATACCTGCACAAGGTTGTATGGTTAAAACTGGAGAAGATACAGCGTCCAACAAGCAGCAATAAATGATCTGGTGGATACTGTTTGTTGTGAGATGAAGAACTAAAATTAAAATTACAAAACTTTGATAAATAAATAGATAAATGAACAGGTTAGCCCAATCAGCTGGTACAGAAACTCTGTAAAATAAAATATTTTTTAATTTCCTCCCAACCTTTTTAACTCTTAAATAGTTCATTACACATTTATTAGTTAGGTTTAGAGAAGGGGTTGGGGTCTGTTTGACTGTTTATCCATAAACGTTTATCTTAAATATTCAGACTACAGTACAAATTTTAATATAGCAAATCAAACTTCGTATCAATATACAACTAAATGAACTAATTATTAAGAAGTAAACTGACCTTTAAACTGAAGAACTTGATTGGCTTGTACACATTGGTTTCTTTGCCGCATAGTTCATTCGCTGTTGCTTGTGAATGTTTTATAAACCAGTACAGCGAAGTAGCGAAATTTCGGGCCGCCTTTCACAACAAATAACATCACAATAACTGCACATCCTTTTCTCTTTAATACAGAATCGTTTTCCCTGTCCATTGAGTTATAATTTCCAAGACTAACGAGTCGCTAAAACGTAAAATAAGCAGGTATTTGTGAACAAAAATGCTCTTTGATATAACACGAGGTAACCAGCGCCATCTTGTCTTCTCCAAACATTACAGATTTTCCCGCCAAAACCCGCCCCCAAAGTCCCGTATATAATGACGTCACAAGTGTCATGGACGGGGGGGGACTACCCATAAAAACTTGAAGGCTAACTCAGGGGGGAAATTGAAGCCAGTGCATTTTAGTTTTTCTGAGTTATGAGCAGAAATACTCAACACTGAACGTTGGGCTATATATCAAATTGAAGCTATTGAAAAATGCTATTTGGTATAGAAATTTCAAGACTTTAGCTAAAAGGGAAATATTGAAAAACTACAAACATAATTACCGATAATTTGCCATTTTGCAGTTGTTTTTGTATTTTTTAAATATTTTTCTTTTCGCTGAAGTCTTGAAATTTCCACACCGAATAGCAATTTTCAATAGCTTCATTTTGATATATAGCCGACGTTTGGGGTCAAGTATTTCTGCTCATAACTCAGAAAAACTATTTTGGCTTCATCAAATCATAGGCCTTCATCATAGCAGTTAGCCTTCCAGTTTATTTATAGTTCAATGGTGAACTCTAATAAGACCTGTTGTTGCTGAAGGGTTAAAGGGACGTGGTGTTGGCTGACTATGGGAAGCTGAAGGTTCAGGGTGGGACACCTGTTGATGAGCTGGTGGTACTTGGGGATTGACTAGGGGTACCTGACGAGGAACTGGTGGAACATAGGGGTTGTCTAGGGGCATCTGTGGAGCTGGTGGAACATAGGGGTTGTCTAGGGGCATTTGTTGAGGAGCTGGTGGTATTGGTGGTCTTATTAGAGTTCACTGGGACTACCATATTTAGTGGTAAAATATTTCAAAAATACACACTAAATCTAATTTTTATCTCTTTAGCTTCGCTATTTTTGCTTTCCACGTATTGTTTGACTCAACCACGATTGTAACACAACAATTTTTGCTTGCTAAACATTTTAAAATCAACAAAAATACAGACCATGTTCTTCAGGCAAACATTGGAAATTATTTTTTTACGTTCAAACCGGAACTTCATGTAACCTAGCTTGTTTTGGCTCAAACAACATAGCCGCTGAAAGTTTAAAAAAAATCACACCAACAAAACTATAGCTTCTTCTCAGCATGTACATAGAATATGCTTACTGGGGCCTGTTTATATGGAAGCCGGGCTGGCCTGCTAAGCGAGCCAGCCCGGTAAACGAGATCTCACTGTGTAGTTATTTTTATAGTAAAAACTATCGTGCATTTATATGGACAAGTGGGCTGGCCCATCTTGCTTGAAAGAGGCGAGATCTCGCTTACCGGGATGGAAATCTCTCCATATAAACATTCACAAGCAGGCTAGCCTACCCTGGTTCCAGAGGTTTATTTTTATTATTTTCATTGCAAAGGGGAGAGGAAAAATAAACCTCTGGTTGAAATCAATCAATGTGAAAGCTTAATGCAACTCAAGAGGTGTTATTAAAGTAAATCTGACAATCACAGCAAACATTGCCATTAGCTAGCCCATATACTGTCCGTTTGACGGACTTTTCCCAATTGAGGGCTTTCCCAACTGGGTCTACTGGAAGATTAGCATGTGTCCCCCAAAATTTTAACGGTCGGGCAATAATCAATGCGAAATTGGTCAAAACATAAAAATTTCAATATTCTGTGAAAAATTTTTCGGATTTGGCAGAAATTACGGAATATTTCTTTGATATCTCCTGAAAATTTTTTTGGTGACGTCCCCCCCCCCACGCTCGCCAAGAATTTTTGGGAAAAATCTAACTATGGTTTATCTAACTATCGTTTAACTATCGTTACGGAATGAGTCTACTAATCAACCGAAAACCACTTCACATGATTTTACTCATTCTATTGGCTGGTGATGTGGCAACAAATCCCGGAGCCTTTTCAACTCATGGCGGCCAAGTTAAGAGTCTTGTTCTCAATGCAAGAAGTCTAAAGAGCTTCCATAGAGACGAACAGTCTAACCTAATAACCCTCAGCGCTTTCAAGACCTTGTTTATAACGAGAACTCTGACGTAATCTGCATGAATGAGACATGGCTGAATAGCAAAGTATCTGATCAAGAAATTCTGCATCCTAGGTTTTCCATCTTCAGGAAAGATTGTAAAGAGCGAAGTGGTGGCGGTGTACTTATAGCTGTAAAAACGGATTCTTTCAAAACTGTTAAGGAGTTTTCGCTTGACAGAGAAGATCTGCAAGAATTGGAGATTGTCTCAACTGAGTTACGAACAGTGACCAATAAGAAAGTACTTTACTGCTGTTGTTATTGCCCTCCAGATGCTGACCAATGTTGGATGGACAGGTTTAAGATCTATTTGCAGACCATCTGTGACCTTTACGGAAATATCATTATTGCTGGCGATTTCAATCTTCCAAACATTCACTGGGACATAATGGAGAACACAACTGGTGTCAACAAACTCGTCTTCGTACAGCTGCTGAACGACCACTACTTATCCCAGCTAAACAACACCTCGACACAAGGAAATAACATTCTGGACCTTGTTATAACAAATACTCCCGATCATATTCGCCTGACGCAAATATTGTCTCCAGAAGAAACATCCATGTTCACCGACCATCATACGATCTCGTTCGATTTCTCGGCTTTTCTCAAACAACCTGGAAAGTCAGCAAGAACCATATATAACTATACGAAGGGCAACATGCACGCTCTGTGTGCTGCCTTAGGGGAGATTAATTTGTCCTCAACCATATCGGAGTCATCTGACAATATAAATACCGACTGGGAGCATTGGAAGGAGTCTTTTCTGTCTACCGTTTCGTAACACATTCCAAAAAAGAAAATTTGTGGACAGAACCCGAGTATATGAAGACATATTACTGTCGTTCCAATTGAAGTGTTCCTCAAATATTGATTCAATACATTACCTCGGGCTGACCAATTCATTTCATCAAGTTCCTCGAGATATTCATACACTTCCTGTGAAAGAGCCAATTCCAAGAATTTGATCATTTTTGGTCACTTCCTTTCTATTCATGATTGGTTAGTTGCACAAACAACAAAGGTGATTGGTGCATTCAAACTATTCAACAGGAAGTTTACAATTATACTAGGAAGTGTATGAATATCTCGAGGAACTTGATGAAATAAATTGGTCAGCCCGAGGTAATGTATTGAATCAATATTTGACGAACACTTCAATTGGAACGACAGTAACATTAAATCAGGACTACCGACTATATTTAATTAAAGCCAGCTGAATTTTTTATACCTATTATCTTTTTAATATACCTGAATCTGTTAGCCTGTCGAGTAGTCTCTCATTCAAACAATGCCCACGACGTCTTTTAAATAGTCTTGTTGTAGAGTAAACCTTCTTGAATTTTATATAAAACGAAAAAAATCACAACACAAAAACAAACAAATATGCACAACGTTACTTTAGTGTCTCTTTCTTATAAGAGATTTATATTTCAACCAGAAAAACTTACTAACTTGTACATGTGTTACTGAAGTACAATAATCAATATGGCCGACTTCTACGATCCATATTTATACCTAACTATCCATACTAATCTATTATGCATATATTAACTGTACATTATCTCTAAACACTATATCCCTTTTTTTCTTCTAATTTTTTTTATAATTAAAAATGTTAAGTGTATCTAACTGTTAAGTATGTCTAACTGTTCGCAAAAGACAATGTTTTAGAACAATTATTTTTAACTTCTAATTGATAATCTTAATGTCTAATATATACTGTTTGTACTTATCGTTACGATGCCTCTTCATAAATCAAGTCTCTCTGGAGCTCTTCCTTTTGTACTTCTGGATGAACGTCTTGGTTCAGCAACGACCAACGATTTATCTATCACTTGTTCATTAGTGTCCGGTTCTTTGAAATGTTCCGACTCGTCAATATGTTCATTTCCCGATGGTAAATCTGATTCTTCAAATTTTCTAACGTGTGAAGAATTGCGTTTGTAGCAAACACCTTCACCTGATTTGATTGTCACTTGTGAACCATTCACGTCAACAATCTCGTAAGGATCATGTTCATACATAGTTGTTGTCTTACACGTTTTACGCTGCTGCAGTAGAACTTTATCATTAACTTTGAGGTCAGGATATTTTGCATTCTTCTTGTCATCCGCATATTCCTTTCCTTTCTGTTTGAGAACTGCATCCCTATCACGTACTTCTTCATCACATTTATCAAAAGGAACCAATTCAGGTATCTTTGTGCGAAGACGTCTCTTGAATAACATCTCATCTGGGGCTTTTCCAGTAGTCCCATGAGGTGTTGTACGATACGCTGTTAGGAATTTATTAAGTTCCTCCTCTAAATTTCCTCCTTGCGCATAAGAAATTTTAATTACTTTGTTTAGATTTCTCATCTGTCTTTCGATTTCAGCATTTGCTTGTGGCCATAATGGAGTTATACGGCGATGATAAATTCCATTCTTCTCACAAAACTCCTCAAACTCAGAAGACACAAATTGTGGACCGTTATCAGACGTTAACTCACATGGTAATCCATGAGTAAGAAACATTCGATCTAAAGACTGAACAATCTTTGACGATGTAATAGATTTCAGAATATCTATTTCAATCCATCTACTATAATAATCGATTATTGCTAGAATGTAAATATTATTGTTTATTGGACCAAGTAAATCACAAGCAATTATTTCCCATGGAGATTCTGGTAAACGTGTTCTTACCATTGGTTCTGGACGAGAAGGTAATTGCACCACCTGACATCCATGACATGTACGACATTCTTTTTCTGCCTCCTTATCAATATTTGGCCACCAAACTTTACTTCTTAAACGCTGTTTGGTCTTAACGATTCCTTGATGTCCCTCATGTGCCAAATTCAGGACCTTCTTCTGTAATATCTTCGGAATCACTAGGCGTGTACCACGAATTACTAACTTTCCCAAAACACTAAGTTCTTGTCTGACAGATCTATATGCTACATCTACCGATTCCCATTGATCATCAGTCAATATACAAGATCTAACCTTGGAAAGTTCTGGATCCTTGTCTGACTCTTTCTCCACTTCTTGAATTGTGATGGCATTTGGAACTGCATTCTTTGCCACAAAACGTATATAATCTTCTGCATCATCGGTACTAGGGCTTGTGTTCATGGTCAATCTGGACAGTGCGTCAGCAATATTTTGCGCTCCAGGTCTATACGTGACTGTAAAATCATACGACTGTAAACGTAGTACCCATCTTTGTATCCTGGCTGGTGGCGTTGAATTCTTTGAATAAATGACTTCCAAAGGCTTATGATCAGTGATCAATTCAAACTTACTCCCATAGAGATAACCATGAAATCTTTCGCACGCCCAAACTAAACCGAGAGCCTCTTTCTCAGTCTGGCTATATCGTCTCTCCACACTTGTTAAAGATCGACTAGCATAACTTACGACTCTTTCTTCGCCATCTTGCTCTTGAATTAAAACAGCACCGAGACCTACTGGGCTTGCATCTGCGATAATCTTCGTTTTGGCATCTTTGTCAAAATATGCAAGTGACTCTGCATTTGCTAATTGGGACTTTAACTTGTTAAAAGCGTTTTCATGTACTTTAGTCCACTGGAAAACCACGCCTTTCCTCGTCAACTGTCGAAGAGGTTCGGATGTTGTCGCCAGGTCAGGAATGAACCTCGCAGAAAAGTTAACCAATCCAAGGAAACTACGCACTTCCGATGCGGTCTCAGGTCGCCTTGCATTCTTTACAGCTTCAACTTTGGTGTTAGTTGGACCAATACCTCTTTCTGATAAAAGGTATCCCATAAATGTAAGCTCAGTCATGCGAAACTGGCACTTTTCAGGATTAAGTGTAAGATTTTTTTTCACTAGGGTCATCAGCAACTTTTCAAGCCTTTCGTCGTGCTCAGCTTGATCCTTTCCATGTACGATAATATCGTCCGATATATTATGCACACCTTCGCAATCGCGAATTGCATCACCAATATGATACTGATAATATTCTGATGCATTATTCATACCAAAAATTAGACGTGTATATCGATAATGTCCCTTGTGAGTGACAGTGGTTGTGATTTCTCTCGATTTCTCTTCAAGCTCTAACTGGTGATATCCATATTTGAGATCCAATTTTGAGAAAACTTTGCTACCATTTATTTCATGAAGGATATCATTCACTGTAGGAATAGGAAACTTCTCTCTAACAATCGCTTCATTGGCTTTGCGCATGTCCGTACACAGTCGAATGTCACCATTTGGCTTAGGTACAACAACAAGTGGACTTGCCCATTTTGCTGGTCCTTTTACCTTTTCTATTATACCTTGCCTTTCCAATTCATCTAATTTCTTTTCAACTTTAGACTGTAATCCATATGGAATGTTACGAGC